TGTGAAACAATAGCAATTATCAGCAGAAAATTATCAGCTGACACGCATTCAATCAAGATGACTTTAGATAAGAAAATCAGTATCACATTATCACAGTGCTCCCCCATACTGCTTTTTAAATCATTGCTCCAAAGGTGTAACACGGAAGTCTTTTATCAGACAGGGTTTTTTATTGGTTTTTTGTTGGTTTTTTGGGGGTGTGTGTGTGGGTGGGTGGGTGTGTGTGCATTTTGTGCGTTTTATTCTGAGGAATATATCTATGACTCTTGGTGGTGGGGTTTTAAAAAAAAAAAAATTGGCTCAAAGCTTCTTTACCACCTTCCTACTCTGCCATCCCTGTTGGAGATAATCATCCTGCAGCAGACTCACAGAGACACCAGGTGGGTGGTGCAGATAATTGTGCAATTAAACAGTGATTTGAAAGGAGAAAAAGAACTTAAAGACACACTGCAATTATTGAGATTCCAACTGATGCAAACATTTTATGCCATAGCTATAAGCAAATTTTCAGCAATGCTTTTATTTTACTTTACTGGGTATTCAAAGAAGCGAAGCAGTGACATTATATATCACATGTGGGTATGTTACCCACATGATACACACAACTGAAACCTGAAAAAATTATCCCAAAATTTCCAAATAAAGCATCAGGAACCCTTTATACTTTATAATATCCTTGTATTTTAATCTGCATTTAAATTATTTTACAGTAAAATTTAACTAAATAATAAATGACTACCTAGTTACATATTATTCAGGTATGTATTTAATAAAGACTGAAAAAAAATCAGTTCTTTTCAGTGTTTTTATATGGAAAAATGTATCAAAATATCTTTACCTAGTTTGGCCTAATCTGGCATCTGTTTAATAACAGTATTAGATAAGGAGCCTCCTACCCATAGATAAAGCAACTGCATGGTTTAAGATGACATTTAGAAATGTAAAATTTATGTTGCTCTTGCCCACCATTAATTTTGTGTCAAATAATAGAAGATATTTATATTGTTTTTTAGCTAACATTTAACAGGCTCATTGTAGTGAATTATTTTGGTCCTCACTGGTTTGATTATAGCAAATGGAATTGTTTGGCATGTATTTCAACATTTACTTCATGTTAGAAAATCCAAGCTACATGCTTTCAACAGAATGAAAAAAAAAAACCAACCAAGTGTGTATTCAAATATGTGAATTAAATCTCCTCTCAATAACAGGGGTGTGATAGTCCTGCTAGTCCCAGCACATCCAGATAACATCTTTAAATTGATTTTAAAATATTGGACAATATTTCTCTAAATAACCATGCTTATGACTACTTTATTAGTTTAACAAAACAGGTGGCAACTTTTCTTCTTTCAAATGGAAAGTGTGCAATAGCTTTGATGAACAAATAGTGGATAATTTCTCTTTTCTCTTGTTTTCTTTTAAGTGCCTCTCAGAAAAACACTTTAGGAGCTTTCTCATACATTTCTCCTGCGGGACTATTTGAGTGAGGCATTCTTAGAATACTCTGGCTTAACATACCTATGCTAAATTCACCATTAAGAATGTTATTCCTCAGGGAGAACCCATCTTGAATATCAAATATAGTTAAATTAATAGCTGCTAAATAATATCTAAGTTTGTTGAAGTTGTGGGCCTGAGTACAATTTTCTCACACTGTCTTGGTATTTGTTTTTAGCTGTTGATATACCTTTCAGAAAGAAACACACAGATATAGTTTGGTGGTTTTGTTGTTTGTTTTTTTTTCTTTATGGAACTATGCTAAGATTCTCACATTTTTCCTCTAATTCACCCAATTATATTAATTGTTTAAATATAAAACTCTGAGGTTAAATCAAGCTGTTTCCAAAATTTTCTCAATAGTTTCTATAGTTTGATTAGCTTCAGTTTCTCAAGGGAGGTAAAATCAGTTTTAGAGAATTTATCAAAACGTGTCCAACTGACATTTATGAGGTTATCCCATTACACATAAATGTTCTTATGGAACTTGGGTCCATATTAGGCCATGAGCATTCATATTTCTTTAGATTACAAATCTTGGCTATTTCATAAGAGTGTAAGTACCCACAAAAAACCTCACATTTTGATAACAATTAACTAGCAGACCTATATTATATATACAGGTAAAAATCTACATGGTTTCTCAATTTGAGTTAGCAGTATACACAGTGAAATTTCACACTTTTTTTAATACAGCAACAGATACAAATTTAAACTGTTAATTTACCCTCACATTTCACAAAAATAAGTATATTATATGGCCATCTTTTACATAATAAGGGTTTGGTGTTTGAAATGAAAATTATCTCTAAATGTGTCTTGCAGGGTTTTTAAAAATCATTTTATTTTCTATTCTAACTATTCATGCAGTTTTGAAGGAATGTTTTATTGTCATTAGACTTGAGGTCATTAGACTGTTTTCATGTGGTTTCAACTAACTCCTCAGTGCAATATACCTTAGAGAACTTAATGCTGAATTATGTAGAAAAGGAAGGAAAGAATTTTCTTATTCATGTTCTCAGTCACATTTTAACTTAGCAACTGAGCATGTCTATAAGATGGTGCTATTTCAAAATCCCCTTTTTGCAAGCAGCTTCAAAAGCTGTTTCATGGAAACAAGAAGCCATCAGAGCTGTGGGAGGGAAATATGTGATTTGTTTCCAGAGCCAAGTGTGGATAACATGTAGAGAGACTACAAACCTATACAAAAATGCAGTTTTCAACTTCCCCCAACTGCCTGCACTTCTAGAAGCTTTCAGGAACAACTCTATTAAAGAGCTACTTTAGGGATACTACTGGGATTTTATTATATAGCAGTGACAGTATCACAAATATTCATTTAAAAAATTAGAAATTTAATAACCTTTCCATGCACAAAATCACTGATGAATTAGCAATGAATATAAAAAAAAAAAATCCATTGTTAATATTGGAAATAGGGTTTTCCTGTTCACAGACTGCATATAACAATAGAAGAATAACTAGTCAATAATTTGATTGCACAGGCAACCACTCACCATGTGCAAAGAGGAGAGTTTCTCTGTGTGTTTTGGAAAATACAGACGACATATAAAACCATGTTCAGAGATTCAGAGCATCCCTCTCAAGCAAACCCCTGTTAATCTAGAATGGTCGTGAAAATTCAATAATCTCATTCTCCAATCTCATCTCCTTCTGACATTGTTTTTCTGACGTATTATTATTTTTCAAATTATTTTTCTCTAAATCAAGTCAGTCCAGGAGGGGTTATTTGATTGAAGGGATGGAAAAACATTGTGGTACCGAACTTCAAGAAACCTTGCACAGTATTTATCTGGGAGGCAGCAAATGAACTCACACAGTGAGCAAATGCAGAGCATTCCATAAGGCATACCCAGGCTCTAAGGATGAGCTTAGATCCTGTTTCAAGGATGACTGGTCTAAAAATCAACATAACATTGCATCCCAAAAGCATTCTATAATAATATTTTAAAGAAACAGCTCAAAATCTTCAAGTTATTCCCTTCTGTATGAAAATCATATTTTAATTAATCAAGTGAATAGATTTTTTCCCAACATTTAAACAGTAATATTAAATATTTTAATACAAAAAAGAGGTTGACTTATAAGCTACTGTACTGTGATGAATACAGCTCCTCTTCTAGGTGATAAACCCTCCACTGTTTTTTCATTAGCTTTATTTTTGCCCATTTGACTTTTTTATTCTCCGAATTAAATTACAAACCACTTTGACTAAATTTGGGGTTTAATTCCTTTTGATACTTTTTTGTAACATATCTTTGGGAAAAATTAATTATTATTTTTATCTTCTGAAATTAAAATATTATAATCCTTTGAAAAGTATTGTCTTGCATTCCATATGATCATTGACCATCACATTACTGGTCTCTTAAGAAATATTTATATTTTCTGTTCGATATTGCTAACAAAAAGCAGCTGATTTCTCAAATTCTTTGTATTACTGTTAGAAAACCCAAACATGTGTTTTGGTGTCACTTGAAGCATAACCTGAGATAGCTATCTGTAAAAACATTCACTTCAAATAGTAGTCCTATATTCCTCAAGATTACAAAACATATCTGTATTACTCCTTGGTATATGCAATTATAAAATAAGACAAAAGCTAGCATTATACCTCTCATTATAAAGTGCAGAAATTTCAACTTGGTGCAAAAGAGCTGAAATATTTAAAAATTAAAGGTAATAAATGCTTTTTCATTTTCTACCTGAAGACAATGAGGTGGAAAAGACCAATGATTTTTTTAATGTAACAAAGTCATTGCCACAATTAATTCAGTAAAATTAACTACATTGTTCAATTATTGCTGAAATTCTTTTACATCATTAAAATTCACAGAGGTTGCTAAAGCTCTGCTTACTGTCTGGGAAGTTCCATTAGGCAAAACATTATTCATAGTCAGATGTGCCTCTAAACACAAAGATTGATTTCATAAATGCCGTCCTAATAATCTTTTCTTTTCTTTTTTACCAAGTGTCTCAGAAGGTTGAGCAAAGACAAAACCAGAACACAGTACTAGAATATACTTTTGTTACGTGTGAACTGCACTGTATCCAAAAGGAGCATTACATTAATACTGAGCTGAAATTATCTATTTTTATGCCTCTTTATTCAGCAGCAAAAATGACCAAGTCTGCTGATGGATTTTTTAAAAAGATATTTAGTACTTAAAGAATTCACTAACATAACACACAAAACAAAAATATTTTTATTGAAAAGGATAACTAAACTCTTCAGCTACTACATTATACATTTTCTCACAGATTTTTTCAGATTCCCTCCTGGCCAACACACACTCACTGGACAGTTTTGCCAGCCTTATGTGCACTGATATTTTGTAATGTATGTCATGCCACCAGTGGATAAAGGAGAAATGCTAATCTCTGGGATTAGGTATGTAATTTATTTTAGCAAGCTACCAGACTGAAGTTACTCACGTTGATGCCTGGGCAGCCGTTCCTAATTCCAGCCAGGTGCTTACCTCTCTCTGTCTGGGGAGTAGTGGTCGTCTACAGCTCGGTGTCTGTCCATGCGGCTCAGGGTGTTGTAATGCGCAGCAGTGGATCGAGTCCCTCGCAGTCCCTGATCCACATTCCGACTAAGGAAAAAAAATATCACAGGCTGAGTTTTGCCTGGATGACATCCTCTCACTGGTGTCTACAAACAATTATCAGCAATCATGCTGGTAACAAGATCTGTTAGCTGACCAGACTTTTCTATGCATTGGAAGTAAAATCATTTTAAATCTTACAGTTAAAAAAAAAAAAAATTCTCATTTAGAAAATGGTGCCAAGTCCATGATAGGGATGGAGTTTTCTTTTTTTGTTCCAATGTGTTTCTTCTAGAAATAAGAGGAAAGCTTTTTCATTTCCTTCATTAAAAATGTTAATCTTGCACAACATTTCATTAGTCTTTCCAGACTTTAAGCAAAAATTCATTTATGATGGAAACTTACACTGTAAATAATTTTTCATGAGTTCTTGATTTTGGCTTTACTATAAAGATGTAAACTGCAGTAAGACACAATGGGGACTTGTGGCTGTTACAGTAGAGTGCAGCCTGCTGAAAACATGGTCACCTGAATTTAAAAATAGGACTGTATGTGGTACCCACTTAGTGGGTTAGTGCAGGCTTGGGTAAAGATCACCTGTACTAATTGAGACCAAAGCTTTGCCTATGGATTGTTTTGCTTAGTTTTTCTATCAATACCTACTGACACACACTTTACTTTTATGTGCTCTGTAAAACAAATCCACAAGAATAGGAAAATAGGAGACCATGGTTAACTGTAATAATTATTGGATAATGAAAACATAATTGTTTTGTATCGATTTGAAAATAACAAACTGGATGCTTCCTTCCACACAAAGACCAATAAATTCTTCTGTCTCCTGTCCTTTACTGCAATCTGCTGTAATGTGGGCCTCAGTTTCCTTTATTTTTTTTAGTTTTATATCACTCAGTTTCCCTTTCCTTTCTTGTCACTTTGTCTGCCCTTTTGGTACTTGTCATACTTACCCTTAGTCATTTACCACTTTCTGACTAGTGTTAACTTGTACATGTATCCTTCACAGCTGCTGCCATGACATTATTTATTTCTGCATATAAGTGCTATAAAGATGTTTCATTACACATAAACTTTTGCCTTCAGCTCTACCTCATTTGTCATAAAGCATTTTCCACTCTGGCATTCATGAATCCAAATACTGGGTTTACTCCGGCTAGTAAAGAGTAACAAGAGCAGTAACAATATCTTGTCAGCTACCACGCAGTGGGACTTTGGCAGAGTTCATTAAAAAACTAAGTAGGATTGAGGACTGCAAAATGGTTTCTAAAAAATAACAGCAACTTCTATGGCCCAAAATCTCCTGGCTGCAGAGGTGTCAGTAATGGGAAATCTCTGGGCATGCAGAATGCTCACTGCAATTAGGACATCTGTAGACTAGCACATGCATAACAAATCCACCTGAACAGGGTGCAAAATGTAATTGATAATTCTTGTAGATTTCCTGAGTAGGCCTGCATTTTCAGTAGAACTAAAAATGATATTTCTGTAACCCATAGCTTATACTTTTCTTCTGCAAATCCTCAAACTCTCATAACCCAATTTTCTGAGCTCAACAAGTCCTCAAAGAATTTGTTTGGTGCGTGGGCAGGGAAATATTACTCAAATAATGCATTTGATTCTGACATTGTAGGAAACAGCTGCAATAAATTCAAAACTATATTTAAAAATTTAGCTTTAGGAAAGTTAAAAAGCAAGAGATTTTGAACATGTAAAGAAAGCCAAGACTACGAGAAAATTAGAAGTAGATTGTTCAATGGTGTTAAACAAGCATTAATCACCAGCTTGGGTAAAAGTTCTGCCAAAAATGCACCCAGCATGCGTGCAGACAGGAAAACATAAAAACGCAAACATACACACAAAGAGATTTTGCTCATATTTATGTCTATATCCAAGACAAATAACCTCTAGAGATTCAGCATAGCAATTACTTAGGCTGAAATCAGTATATTAAAAATCAGAATAGGTCCCTTTTTGTCTACCACTTATATCTCATTTCAAGTCAGGCTGACTTGGTTTTAGATGGGTTTAGATTTCAAGTAGAAACACACAGTTTCTGCCTCTTAGCTGTATGAGATGATGGGAGATAATTTGGAATCCTAATATCTCACTAATGCAAAAGGGTATCATATAGGCTACATCCATTAGAGGAAATGGTAAGTAAAAACATAAGTAAAACATTATGAAGTCAAGAGAATTTTAACTTAACAAAAAGAACAAAGATAGTAGAAAGGAAAGCAAAATACAAGAGATGTCTGAAAGAAACTGAGAGGAACACGGACCTGCCAGGAAATATGGGATAACAGACCTTCAGTATCAGAGGGGAATTGTGAACTTTACAGGCAAAAGAGAAAACTTCCACTTTCATTTCAACTGAATTATATCATCTGGAAACCTACCCATACATATGGATTGTTTTGCTTAGCAACAACATAGCATACATAGCAACAAAAGGGCTGGAAAAGAGGTTTCATTCCCATTTACATCTATCCTTCTGCTTCCTTTCTATTAAGAAAGCTTATCCTGCAGAGTACTAAAACAATTATTATATGTTATCCAAAGCACTAGCTTTTGGAAGAAATTTCCTGGTCTACTTTTCTCAAGATAAATACTTATCAGATATCTGCCAAGATCAGGAGATGATATCTTTCACTATAAAATTGTATGTCTGTCAGTTTATTCTTGATGATATAGAAGTATGAAAGAAATAGTAGAAAGGAAGCTACTCTGGGCAGCAAGGGAGGCTCCCTAGAATCCTAACTCTACAGAAATTCTACAGAAATATAAGGGTTGAAAACATTCACTGTCATATGAATGCTAAAGAAATATCTAACTATCACATACTATAAAACATGGCACCTGTAAATAGTTCTAGGAAATGAAAATGTGGAGAGATATTTTTCTTGCCTTGGATTAAACTGTACTGAATTTTGATTAAAAACTAGATATAAATAGGCAGAAGTAAGAGACAATTATGTAATCATATAATAATAATAAATAATATAGTAATAATAAACAGTAAACAACATAGAATTATATATAAAGTAATATAATTTATATATTTATAAGTAGGCATCATATTACACTTTTATATATTATTAAATTTATATATATTTATATATAGGCACATCACTATAATGTAAAATACCCATCATCAGCTTTACATAATTTTGTAAGATATAACCAATTCATTGCCATTTTGAAAGTCTGGAGATTATTTCCAGCATTGGTAGAAGATCAGTACCAGTTTAATTTACATAACTGCACAATTCAACAAGAGTTTACCTTTGTGGGGGAGGGACACTGGGAGACCACGATCTAGTCCGTCCTATACTATCTCCACGGTGAGGGGACCCTGATCGAGAACAATGGTTAGATGACATTACTTGCTCTGGCACTGACAGTGTTGAACTTTGAAGATCTCTCCCGTTATGTCGGTAATCTAAAAAGAAATGCAAATATTCAGTGAATCTGAAGTTGCACTTTTCAACTTCCTGCCGTGTCTGTAGTAGTGAGAAACTCAATAAAAGATGGGATTTGACCAAGAATGTTGTCGTGTGTTCTTGGGTTTTATAGTAAAACATACTTATGTAAAGTTGACTCCTGTGATACTTTATTTATGTACAACTACAGTTCCCATAGTTATACTTTAAATGTATAGAAATTAATACCATGCACCAAACTGGAGACTTACCATTTACACTTAATATGATGTATTAATAATAAAACAAATTAAACTGATTTTTCCTTATAATAAAAACCCTAACTATGGCATTTTTAATTAAAATTATACTGCAAATGTTGTGAATAATGTTTTTCAAACAGAAATGTCCATAATTAAAAATTAATCCAAAATTTAGTTTACAAATTTGGGATAGGAAGCTACTGTGGAGTTAAATAATGAAATTGGATTCAAGAAAGATTTGTATTTCAGAAATAATTAAAGTAACAATGAATCAATGACATCAGATTTCACTCACAATTCTGAATTTCACTCACAATTTCTTCACAAATAGCAAGAACCCTGGCCTAATTGTAAATAAGCCTAATAGAAGGCATAAATGGTCTAAGAAATGCCTCCAAGTTACACTGGAGTAAAACGCAACCACATGGACACTTAACACAGGTTTTTAATAAAAATCTGTTTAAAAATCTGGATGTATTAAAAGTGATGGTCTTAATGTAATTGAAAAAGTTGATTTCACTGTCCCATGGTGCAATACACTCTGCGGAAAAAAAAATGCTAGATATACAGCAATTTCAAGTAAGTCTCCCCAAATTTTGTAAGGATTAAATTAAAACACGATGATAAAAAATTGAAGACTTGCAATTGTTAACCTGATTACAATGCTTAGCAGGAATAGGTCTTCAGAGAGTTGCTGGTGGCTATGACAATTGATATAACTGATTTCTTTGTTCCAAAGACAGTAACCAAGAAAAGAATACTTAGAGAGATCCACCCGGCACTGGAAAAATTCTTGCTCATGCAACTGTTATACTTTTCCCATGAGAATCTTCCAAGAGTAGAATAATCTTCTGCTCATGATTTTCTTATTTTTCTTCCTGGAAAATGTTCATTAGGACCTAAACAAAACCTTATTAATTCATTCCACTTTATGGTTCCAAGTATGTTCAATACTTTCAACTGAGTACTCATATTCACTGCATGGCCTTACAACCAAGGATATATATAAACAATCCTAATTCGTAAACAACTTCTTCCCCCTGTGTTTAGGTGTAAACTGCCTTTTGTGTATCTGGTATGCATACATAAAGGAGGGGGGGGCGGAAAAAGCACATCACCATCACATTCCACTAATATAATGATGCTGAGGATGACATAGTCTCTCCTCACTACACCACAGTCAAATCATGTAATGTGTATCTTCAGCTAATGAAGTCAGTAATGAAATACTGACTTTTATCCTATATACAAAGTAAATTTATTATTATAAGCACTGTGAAAACTTATAGGGGCCAGTGCAACATAATTCTGAGATCACCAAAGGCAAAACAGGGGATATTTTATCTGTGTTTGAAACAGGGTGTTATTTATCTCCTACACTAAAGTGTAGGAGATAAATAAATTTTTTCAAGTCATTCTGGAAATCAATACACTCTTCAATTCTGCAATTCTTTAACCAGACGTAAAAAAGCTAAAGTAACAGCAGTGGAGAGCCCATCCTGCCGCAGATGAGCAGCCCATCCTGCCCATCCTGCATCCTCCTGGCAGGACCTGTGGACTTGTGGAGAGGGAAGCCCACCCTGGGGCAGGTTTGCTGGCAGGACTTGTGACCCAGCCTGGAGCAGTTTTCAGGGGCTGCAGCCTATGGGAGGGACTCATGCTGGAGCAGTCTGTGAAGAACTGCAGCCCATGGAATGAACTGACATTAGAGAGGTTCATGAAGGACTGTCTCCCATGAGAGGGACCTCACCCTGGAGCAGAGGGATAGACTGAAGAGTTCTCCCCTGAGGAGGAAGGAGTAGCAGAGATAACATGTGATGAACTGACTGCAACCCCCATTCCTGTCTCCCCGTGCAGCTGAGAGGGAGGAGGTAAAGAACCAGGGGGAAAGTTGATACCAGAGAGAAGGAAGGGATGGGGGCAAAGATTTAAAATTTCAGGGGGTTATTTTCTCATTATCCTACTCTGATTTTATTGGCGATAAAATAATTTCTCTGGTTGTCTGTTTTGCCCATGATCATAACGGGGAGTGATCTCCTCCTGTCCTTATCTCCACCCAAAAGTCTTCAGTTATATTTTCTCTCCATGTCCAGCTCATGAGGGCAGTGACGGAGCAGTTTTGGCAGCCACTTGGCACCTAGCCAGGGTCAATCCACCACACATAAATGAGCAGCAAGTTATTATAAACTTCTAGATAGTGAAATAAAAAAACTCCATTATTTACAGTACAGGAACAGTAAGAAATATTGTCTTATTACCCTAATAATGCATATCTATTGACAGAAAAGATAGAGATGGTTCTTCGTATTCTCTTTGTATTCTCCATACACAAGGATAATTTGTTGCATTTGGAGATGGAAAACAATGTAGAGTAGTAAGATGAAGAAATAGGTAAATTCTTTGAAAAAATCAGCAGTTTCTATAATATTTGGTATGTACAGAAGTATGTACCTCAAAATGTGAGGGGAATGAGCAATACTGTAAGATTTGCTAGGTGAACAAACATAATGAAGGGCAAAGTAATCAATTAACAAAACACACAAAAAACCCCTCCTTTAAAATTCTAAAAAATGCTAAAAAAGACTGAAAAACTTCTAGAAGTGAGAACAAGTAAATCAAAATTATTGAACTTATTAAATCTGCACATAGAAACAAATTAATTACTTTGGAACAAAAAGCCTTTTCCAGCTCTAATTTGTTATTGTAGTTGACCAAATGAGCAGTATTGTTGCAATAAATCAAAATATATTACTTTGTAATTAATTGTCAAGTCTAATCCTGATCAAATATGTGCTTTACATCAATTTTGAGGTAGTCATGCATTGCTTTCTGGTAACTAACAATGGTACTGCTTCCTTATGACAATAACAAAGGCAGAAACAATCAGCATTCCTAGAATTTAGCTCAATTTTGATAAATTATTGCTATTTTTTTGAAGAAAACTAGAGGTTTTTAGCTGTGATCAAAGAAATAGATTAATGTTGTCTAATAATACTGTTGCCAGAAAAATTGTCATTTATAATTCATTTGCCTTAAACAAAAATAATTATATTTACAAACTTCTCTTTTTCCAACAGGTCACACATTGAAAAGCAACTGTTCAAGTAAGACAACCCACTAACTTGGGTTAATGAGGTAATTTCAAAGTTATCCTTCAGTTTTGTAGAGTTAATGTAGCTCTGATTTAACTGCCTGTACTGTAGGTATTATTTAACTTCCAATTTTAAAAACTATTGCACATCCTGGAAATAAGGTTAGAGAAGTTAAGTAAAAAACACTTTCTTGAAAGAAATTATAGACAAAAAAGACAGGTCATAAGGGCAGTTTGACCAATGAGTTGCTATTGATCAAAGCAGATATTTATAGCAGTAGTAAAAATAGGATAAACATTATCCTGCTTGCAGCTATAAATATTGAGTCATTACCATAGAATCAAAGGCTCTATAACTATGGCAAGCCTCTTAAATCAACGTAGAGAGTACACAACACCTGATAATCAGTGTAGAGATAATCAGTGGTAAACAACTGTGAGCTGCAGACACCTAAAAGACAGACACATGATAAAGACAACTGCAAGGCCACCACCTTCTTCTGTCATGGGAAGGTTTCATTAAAAACTGACACATATGAAGAGAGGGATTTTACAAAGCACACTAAATACAGCTTCTTCAGACCTGAAGTTTTAGTTTTAACTGATTTAAGAGAGACTACTAATATATTTGACTTAAAATATTAATCCATACAGTATCGCTGTACTGTGCTAATATTATGCTATGCAGGGTACATGTTCAGTAAATACTGATGATTGAATTGTTATTAAATTATGAATCTCTCAGGTCAAAATTGCAGAAAATCACAAACTTCCAAATATTAGGTTCACATCAACAGCCCTAAAATGGCCCTGAAAAGAATTAACGGAAGTGTACTAATGAAGATTTTAATTTAGATGCCTTGCTGCTTGATTTACTTGAAAGAAACTCTTAGCATGAAAACTGTTCTAGAAAGGCAGTACTGGAATGGCTGCTCATCACAGGCAACGTAATTGACTTGTTTCTGACACTGATGTTAAGTGATTTTTTCTCCACTTTAACATCTGTATTTGATTGAAACATCAAGCTTTCAGATATTTAACTTTTTAATACTCACAGTGGTTGGGCTTTGAACAAGCACTAATTAAAAACAATTATATAATCAAACTGCCAGAAATGCTTAACATACTAACATTTCACATATGGGCACTTTACAGAGAGTTCAGTTCTTTCATACAAATGTGCTCAGCTTCTGGGGTGATTTGCACATCTAAATGAAGAAATTAGATGTCCTCTAAAAAAATTGCTGACAGTCACTGATCAAATAAATTGAATTATTGATATCTGAATACTTTATAAGTTGGAGATACATTATGAATTGCTTTGGGGAATTTTTTTTTTTTATTAAATATTATTCTGCAAATGTGGGAAGAATGAATGAACAGTTAAAGGAACGAGTAAACATTACAGCAGGAACAACTGGTTACTTGCTGCATAGCAACTCAGTTCCTCACAGGTATATTTAGCTCTACAGCACTAATTGTATTTATGGGCCCATTACACTTGAGACAATTCTTTTCTTATGGAAAAGCATTCCCACACAGTAACTAGAGCTTGCTGAGCTTTCAGTGCTTGATATGCAAAGCTTGGGGGAAAAAACCCCAAACCACCACAGGTACTATAAAGATGTTTCTTCTTAGTTAAGCACTCATCCATGTATATTTGCAT